GAGGCCGCGTTCCCAGGGCGGACAGGGAGGCCGCGTTCCCAGGGCGGACAGGGAGGCCGCGTTCCCAGGGCGGACAGGGAGGCCGCGTTCCCAGGGCGGACAGGGAGGCCGCGTTCCCAGGGCGACAGAGGGGCTGAGGTATGAATCCCGGTACAGCATGACTGATCTTGTTGCTGCTGAGTGTCGGTGAGGAGCGGACTGGAGGCTGGAGCAATGCTGGACAATTGCTGGTCTTGCCCCGGTGCAACGTGCTGAGCTGCTGTTATCGGACTGTAATTTAAATCCTTTTCACTATGTGGAACCTACCCCTGTAAGTAATGCTTATGCTTTCCTTTAAACCTCTTTGTATAAGAACGCTATATTTTTATTTACTCTGTAAGATTTTTACCTCAGTACGTGTACCTAAGATGGCGCCATTAAAAAGCAGCCATTGTAAAAACTTTTCACTGTACTCCTATACCTCTGTATTGTAGTACAAGTGACAATCAAGGATATTTTATTCTGTTCTATAATTTGAAGAAGGTGTATGACTCCTCACTGCTCCTGAAGACCTCGCCCACCCTCCCCCCATACATCTTATCTGAGTTTAACACACAGGCAATAAGCACATGGACTCAGGGTGATTCCAAATATGGATTCTGTGCAGCTTGGTCTTGGCTCATTTTCTGGGAGATAGAATGTGAACTGTTGGAGCATGGAGGTGAAGAACAGGAAGAGTTCAGTCTTTGCCAGCTGCTCCCCTAGGCACACACGGCGACCTGCAGGGAGAGGAACAATGAATGGTAGAGTCTGCAGGTAAGAGGTCAGCAGGTCACTGTGGGGTCATACTGATTGAATAACAAATGTTTTTTTTGGAAAGGATGTCTTTAGTTCTTTGCACAAAATGACTTTCTGACCTTTATTATTAAAAAAAGAAGTCACCTTCACAGAACAGAAAACTAATATCTACTTCTATCAATTTTTAAACCCAAGTTCCCAAATAATAACAACACAGAATATAACAACGTACATCACAGTAGCAAACACCGTTTTAAATACCCGATGTCCCTCTGATAACATCCCACCTCGTCTACAAGAAATCAACCTTTCTCAATACTATGTAAATATTATCTTTCTTCTTTTTATTCAATAACTATCGAATTAACCCTTTCAAAACTGGGCCGCCCATAAGAAGATTTGAAGATTGACATTAATTTACGTGGTGATTTATGGGATTTTCCATATCCTCTTTGAGGTGAACCCTACATTAAGATGTGGCTGGATATCATTACAAATCTGCAGCTGTATATTTCAGTACAGTTAATGTTTCCTTGAATTACCTGCAGAGAATGGGATGAAGGATTCTGGTTTCACAAACCTCTCCTCTGAGTTGAGGAAGTGACCTGGATTAAACTGATGTGGAGTTGACCAAACGTTCTCATCAAACAAGGCGGAGGAAAGGTTTGGGATGATTATTGTTCCCTACATCATTAAAATAGAGACACATTTGTCAAGAATATGTTTGTAATCAGCCATCAGAGCAATATGGAGGAGGCCACCCCTGTATCTGGGACGGAGATATAGACCTGCCCAGGTTAAGGAACATTATCCCCAGTTGTAGATTGGCTAAAGAACCGTTGGATGACATGAAGATTTTGTTTTGCATGTGAGTGGTTAGAAACTGGGACACCCTGCTTTAGAGTGTGTTGGGGGCAAATTCAATCATTACTTTCAAAAGGGAATTGCATCCAAATCAGATGAGGAGGCAATTGCAAAACAACTAAGAGAGGGCTAGGTCGTGAGCCTATTGGAGTTTCTCTTACTCGTGAATACTTTGGCCTGACTGGCTACCTTTGGTGCTGCAATCTTTCTGTCATTCCAACATTATACTATCTCAATTAACTAGTCTAAATAATCATAAGCAAATTAGACAGTTAACCAGGTTTTAGCCTGTTAAAGGGGCACTGTAATATGAATCAAACCTTCAAAGGAAATGTAAAGAATTTAAACTGAAATGACATTCATAGGGCCAATGGTGCACTCCAACCCCAGTGGTGCCCACCAGTCTCGGAAGACTTCAAGTGTACCAGTGTGCTCCCACTCCTGGGACACCCGGATACAGATATAACACAGAAGAAAAAGAGGTAGATGGGTCTAATGAGCCCTCCCACTACTATATTTTCACCTTCCCATTACAGATGTCTGTTCCTAATACATTCAGTTCTTTAAGCAACAGGGAGCTGTTCAGCTCAGCAAGAATCTTTATTTTCCTAATTTTAAGGTATCAGTGCAACTGTGAATGTTCATAATTAATAATTAGATTTGATAAGGAGTTGCGATTTCAAAGAGGAACAGATCATGGCACTGGAAGATGGGGCTACACATTTGAAATGAATTCCAAACTGTACCTTTGGGATTGTGTAGCCCATGACCTCTGTATCTCTGTATGTTTGATGAGGAAGTGAAATGGGAGCAATATTTCCTGCCCGTTGGGTTTCATGGATAACAGCATTAGTGTATGGCATTTCCTCACGGTCTTCCAATGCTGGCTTTCTCTCCTTCCCAATTACACTGTCAATCTCTTCCTGCACTTTAGCTACAGAAACAAAAGAGAACAAATGTCGACAATCATCTCTTAAGTGCTGACATAATGTGGAAACTGCAAGACATCAATTCATGCACGATTAAGTTTGGCAAATAGGAATACAATTGCCTCAATCATGGGTAAGAACTCCAAAGTACTGTGCACATTTTTAACTTGTGTTTCCAAATTGTGTTTTTCATAAGAGGACTTTAGGGCCAAAAATGGCTGTGATTGAAAATTAAGTGGCTCTATGGAGAGAGCCCAATGGAATGTAATACTTAAAAGTGTTAACACTACTTCAAAGAAACTGGATGATTTTCTCATGATTATAAAGATAATGAGAGGCTAACAACCCATTTCTCAACAGTAAGTCATCTCCCTTAGATTATGTCCCAATCTGTTATATTGAAGTTGTACAAGATGTTGGTGAGGCCTCTTCTGGAGAATTGTGTCCAGTTCTGGTCACCCTGTTATAGGGAGGACATTATTAAGCTGGAGAGGGTTCAGCAGAGATTTACCAGGATGTTGCCAGGTATAGGAGGTTTGAGTTATAAAGAAAGGCTGGATAGGCTGGGACTTCTTTCACTGGAGGGTAGGAGATTGAAGGGTGACCTCAGAGAGATTTATAAAATCATGTTGGGGCTCAGATAAGGTGAATGGGCAGGTGTATTTTCCCTAGCATGGGGGATTTCAAGACTAGGGGGAAAACTTTTAAGATGAGAGGAGAAAGATTTAAAAAAGACATGACAGGCAACATTCTTTTTTACACAGAGAGTGGTTCGTTTGTGGAATGAACTTCTAGAGGAAGTAGTGGATGTGAGTACAGTTACAATGTTTAAAAGACATTTAGATAAATACATGAATAAGAAATGTTTGGAGGGATGTGGCCAAAAGTAGGCAAGTGGGACTAGTTTAGTTTGGGATTATGGTCAGCATGGACTGTTGGACCAAAGGGTCTGTTTCTATGCTGTATGACTCTATGACCTTGTATACACATTTTGTGTTTTCCCTTTGAAGAATGAACAAAAACAGGGGTTAAATAGCCAGTTACACCTCAGCTGGAGTGTACTAGTGGGATTGACTGTTTTCATGTGTGCCAGCCTATGTTTGATCATTAGTCTGCCATGCCAGTCACGATTGAAGAACTACCCCCAGTTACCCCAGTGTTGCAGGGAAAGATTGTCTCTGAGGCCGAGTGCTAAGATCAGCTCACTAGTAGTCAGATGAAAGGAGGTATCCACAGGGAAAGGATTTTTTTTTTAAATTAATGTTGTTGTAACCAACTGAGGGGCTGGATGAATTAAGAAGAGGAGCTAGTTCATCCCCTCCTCGCCCAGGAGCTTAGCATTTTGGGGATCCTATCCAGAACTGTAATGAATTGGGAAAGATCTCTAAAGTTTGGACATTACCAGTTGGTAGTGTGCTTTAGTGCTGTTGGTTTAGTGATAAATATTAACCTGATTAAGAAATCCTCCTGCTTGTCCTTAATACTGCTTAGTACATTAGCCACACAGTGGCAAATGGACCCTCGGTAAATTGAAGATCACCTGCTATAGGAAGGATATTATTAAATTGGAAAGGGTGCAGAAATGATTCACAAATATGTTACCAGGACTGGCGTGTTTGAGTTATAAGGAGAAGCAGGATAGGTGGGAATTTTTTTTACTAGAGTGTAGTGAAGGTTGAGGGTGGCCTGAAAGAGGCTTATAAAAATCATGAGGGACATAGATAAGGAGAATAGCAAAGGTCTTTTCCCTAGGGTAGTGGAGTTCAAAACTGTAGGGCATAATTTTAAGTGGAGAGGTGAAAGATTTAAAAGGATTTGAGGGGCAATTTTTACACAAGAGGGTGGTTTGTATTTGGAATGAACTGCCAGAGGAAGTGGTAGATGCAGGTACAGTTACAATATTTAAAAGACATTTGGACAGGTACATGAATAGGAAAGGTTTAGGAGGATATAGGCCAAATGGAGGCAAATGGGACTAGTTTTGTTCAGGAAACCAGGTCGGCACAGATGAGTTGGACCAAAGGGTCTGTTTCCGTGCTATATGACTCTATGATTCTATTTTGAGTAAAACTGCACATTATGCAGAAAAGTAGAGTACGTGTGTATTACAAGGCAGGGAGCTATCTGCTATAAACACTGACACATAACATGTCACAGTGAGTGAAACAAGTTTTGAAAAGATTGATACTACCTCAAACTCAAACATGACATTGCATAGACTATGATAACAGTTACATTGAAACTGCACTTCGGTTGATACTAAAGTTCTGAAGATGCAATGTTTGCAATTGACCATCAGAATAATAAGGAGGAGGCCATCCCTGTATCTGGGAGGTAGATATTGACCCTTCGGGCTTGAGGAACATTGTCCCCAGATTGACTAAAAAACCATTGGATGTTTGTTTGCAGTGAGTAGTTAAAACCTGCGACACACTGCTTAAGTGTGTTTTGGAGGCAGATTCAATCATTACTTTCAAAAGAGATTTGCATCTGAACTGGATGAGGAAATTATTGCAATGTTCCTGCACTGGGAACACAAAATTAGATGCTTGATGGATTGGAACTCTGGAACAGCTAAAAAAAAACACATTTTGTCAAAGATTTCCAACAATACCACCAATCAGAGTTCACTTGTCAACCAATCAGCACACTCTTCTCACATAAATGAGAAAAATGTTCTTCCCTTTACATTAACATTCCTTCTGATGAATGCAGCATGAATATCTTTGACAAATTGGCTCTTTCTTCATGAAGAGACATGAACCGTAGGTGCATAAATGCAAGAATTGTCCTCTCAGCCAGATATTCCACATTCATAATGACTCTCCAAGAAACATGGAGCCTGTTAAAACTCAAACTCCAAGCTTCAGGATCTCCCAACAGTGACACAATTGAGGGAGTCAGTGGGAGGGTGGTGTTTTTGCAAAACATCCGTCAGGTGCTTCCCCAACGTTCGCACGTCCCTTCATTCTAGAGGCCTCTTCAAATGTCATGAGGGAGTTGTGCAGAGGATGAATAATTTGTGTTTTTTTGTTTGCATTCAACTGATAAAAAGGCAGTGGGTTATCTACTTGTAAAAAATAACAGCGCTTTGTGTAGCCCGGGCTTTGACTCTAACACAGAGATACACTTACATTGCACGTCTGGATGGAGAACCATGAAGAGTAGGGCCCAGCGCAGGGTAGTGGAGGTGGTCTCAGTTCCAGCAACAAAGAGGTCTATAACCGTCCCTAACAAATTGGATTTCAGAAAACTTGTCTTGGGATCATGCTTCATCTAAATGTGCAGCAAAAGATTTAAATATCAGTCATAAAAACGTAACGAATTAAAAAGAGCCAAAATATTATTCCTGTAAACCCACATCTTCTGACCTTCCTGTATGCAGTTTCTAAAACAACTCCATCTTTTCTGTGGGACTGGATTGTAGATCTCAGACTGTCAAACAAAAGGCAGTGTGGCATGTGAGGGCCATTCTTTCCCACGTTGTGCCAAGATTTTTCCCAGTTTAATCTAATTTTATGTGGTTAGGCAGATTCCCCTGGTGTGCCAGCAGGTACCTGCGCTGCCTACTGTGGTACTGAGCCCTATGTCAGGTTGGTTTCTGATTCAGTTGCTGCATTAGGATCAGTACTCCTTGTGCTAGAATCTGAATTAAAATTTTCCCTCAGTCAAATTAGAATTAGAATTAGGTTTATTGTCACATGTACTCAAATGAGTACAGTGAAAAGTTTACAAGTCACCAGTTACGGGGCCATCTCAGGTATGATACCTAGGTACGGAGTCCTTTATACCATTATTCATTGACGGGATGAGGGCATCGCTGACCAGGCAGCATTTCTTGCCCATCATTAATTGCCCAGATGGCAGTTTAGAGGCAACCATATTGCTGTTGGTCTGGAGTCACATGTAGGCCAGACCAGATAAGGATGGCAGTTTCCTTCCCTAAATGACATTAGTGAAACAGATGGGTTTTTCCAACAATCGACAATGGATTCATGGTCATCATTAGATTCTTAACTCCAGATATTCCTAAGTACAATATTTAGGGAGGAGGGAGATCTGTGCTGGTCTCTGATAGTTGATGAAACAATGCACAGGCCCCCACCACATTACCTCACAGAAAATGAATTTAAAACACATCCACACATCTCTACTTCTAACACAGTGAGATATCTGTTACAAACCTTCTCCTGCTCAGTTAAGAAAGCATCTATGAAGTCCCTGGTCTCATCAGGGGACCATATTTCTTCAGGCTTCGTGATTATGTTCTGAATGAATTGGACGATCAGCTGTTGATTTTTGAATATTTTCTGGTGTGGACCCGGGAGATGGCGAATGAAGGGGAACGAGTTTAGCACCTGTGGTGAACACAGAGTTTGAAATTAAACACATTCTCTTGCAGCACATAACTGATTGTATTGTCAATGTTAGGCAGAGAAATTGTTCTGAAGAAGAGCCATACTGGACTGGAATCCTTAAGACTGTTTCTCTTGCCACAAACATTGGTGAGTTCTCCAGCATTCTGAGTTTGTTTCAGATTTGCAGTATTTTGCTTTTGTCTGGATGTCCTCTATCGTTTCTGACTCCCTAGCCCACCTATCAAGTGTTCTTTATCGCTCAATGATATTCGTGTCCCCCCCGCTGGGTGTGTCGGAAGAAAGAAAAATGACTCATATTCCATTCCATAAAGCCTGACCTTGACCAGTTTATGGACCTGTTGGTGGCTATTTAAATATTGAGTCTTTCATCAGTCTGAGCTCCCAAGTCATAGAGTCATCTAGCATGGAAATAGACCCTTTAGTCCAAACAGTCCATGCTGAACATAATCCCAAACAACAGTATTCTCTCTAAACTCAGATTTATCACCATGTCAAACTGTGACTCCACCTTGGTTTTGCTCCATGAAATTGGAACTGATGTTCAAAATCCTTCAATACACACCCTCCCAATACACATGTGGATCTGACTTACCGGACCCCAAAATCCACCTTCCAAGACAAAACTTTCTCTGACATAATGAAGGAATTTATGGAATTTTTCATCTTGATAGTCAAACCGTTCTCCAAAGACAATTGAGCAGATAACGTTTGAGGTTGCATTGTTGAGATTGATGTTCGGGTCAAAAGGAAGACCTGAAGAAATGATGTCAAATCTGAATGTTCTAAGTCAAGATGCATGCAGCAAGCATTTCTGAACTCTCACATTTACCGATTTTACTTTGGGAATTTAGTAACTGCTGGGGGCTGGGCATCCAATTCAGAATTGAATCTATTGAATACCAGCCACTGCTTGCCCTCCTTAGAGAAATGATCAGCTCTGAAACAAAGTACAACTACTTTGAGAGAGCTTACAAAGGACGAACAAGAATAGTTACATACCAGGTCGAGGCCATTCACCCCATTATGCCTGCACTGGCTCTCTGTAAAAAGGAACTCGCCTGGTCCTACTCTCAACTTTCTCCCATTGCACTGTAAATATTTGCACGAAATAACTATCCTCTTGTCTTTTGAACAGCATGTGAGATTACGAGATGAGAAGAAATAGCAGGAGTAGGCCACTCGGACTCTCGTTCCTGCTCTGTCAATCAGGTCATGGCTGATCTGTTATGGCTTTCAGTCCACTTTCTTGCCTGCTCCCACAACATTTAGACTCCTTTATAGATCAAAAATCTGGCTAACTCAACCTTGAGTATGTTCAATTTCCCAGCCTCCATCACTCGCGAGGGAAGAGAATTTTGACTACATTTTTTCTCCTTTATTCATTAACGAGATGAGGGTGTCGCTTGCTAGGCAGCACTTATTGCCCAGAGGGCAGTTCAGAGTCAACTGCATTGCTGTGGGTCTGGAGTCACATGTAGGCCAGACCAGTAAGGATGGAAGTTTCCTTCCCTAAAGGGCATTAGTGAACCAGATGGGTTTTATCCCAACAATTGACAATGGATTCATGATTGTCATTAGATTCTTAACTCCAGATTTTTATTGAAATCAAATTCCACCATTTGCTGTGGCAGGATTCAAATCCAAGTCCCCAGACTGTTATCTGGGTCTCTGGATTAACAGTCCAGCAATAATACCACTAGGCCATTGCCTCCCCCTTTTGGCCATTCTGAAGAACCTCATCAGCTACTCACGGATAAAGTTTTCCTTAGTTTTTAATTTTCAGACTTCTAACTCCCTGTCTTCCAATTCTGCAACTCATTATAATAACTCTGCTCCTATTGGCCTTGACAGCTCCGGTGTCTCTGCACTCATTCTTATCAATGACAGCCTTCAGGAACTACAAACAGACCCAGTACCAAAGTCCCACAAGCCAAGGCAGTGCTTCAGAAGCTTCAAGTGATAATGGTGCAGCTAGCGAACCATTCTGGGACTATCTGTAAAATCATTGATGTTCCGGATAATCAGTTTGTTTCATATTAGCACCAAGGGGAATCTTGGAAATGGGTTGCTAAATTCATGTGGAATTTTAATATGTGCACGAAGTGTTAGTACATCTCCACAACAGCTCACGCGTCTTCCACTTCCTCGAAAATACAATTTCCTTACCTTTTGCATTTTCAAATTCTTTGTTTAAAAATTCAGCCTCCTCAATGGTTCTTGTCTCCAGAGATCTCTTTCCGAGCCCAAAGTTTCTCAGCGTCGAAAGTGAAAATCTTCTCTGTTCTCTCCACCAAGGGCCATATCTTGCAAAGACGATACCTACAGGGAAACAACAGAAAGGCGGTGATTTTTTTTAAACTTTCTGTGTTATTGTAAAATGGACAATATCTTCCAGTGAATCTTCTAGTGATACAAGCTTCAGAGGAAATTGCTATCAGAAGAGATGAGTGATAAGCAGCTGATAGCACAGCAGTGTTTCTTTCAAGGTAATGTTATTCATTGAGATCTGGTCCATTCACCAAAGCCCATGAAAAATGGAGAAAGAACATTTTAAAAGTTGACAGTATGGTGTAAGGAAGAATTATAAGTGACAAAATTCCTACTAACGGGGAGTCCACTGCTTTTGGTGTGGCAGATTTGACCACTTTCAGCACGTTAGCAATAAAAAAAATCATCTTATCAAAATACATTATATCGATCACCTACATAATGAAGGGCAATCCAGTAAAATGAACAAGAAAGGAAGCTACTTCAAGGTTGTTAGCTCTGTGGGGTTACATGATGATTGAGAGCAGACATTCTGCTCTTCGATCCAACTTGTCCATGCCGACTAGATAATACAAGTTCTTTTCCTTGATTCTGGATCATTCATTACTGTCTTGCCTTCCACTCTGAGGTGGTTTACATAGTACACCTTCAGTATTACATGTCAAACTCTAAATTCTGAGAGGTAGTAACCTTCCAAATCTCAGTGTGAAATTATACTTACCAACAATGGAAAAGTTTTCAGAAAGCCTCTGTCTGTGTTAAGGAATCACACCAAACCCTTATTAAATCAGCAGCCTTTTGTGTAAAAATGTCTTCCACATTTGGCAGAAGCTTCTCCAGGACAGGGAGAAGATTTCTGGACAAATGGTGACTATATCTTATCTCATGAAGAATTGCCAAAATAATGATTCCACTCCGTTCTGCAGGATTTAGTACAGCCTCTCCAGCTTTCAGCTAAAGAAGGCTGGACAACATTTTGTGAGGAATTTCTCAACTTCTAATCAACATTACAATTCCTCTCCAATTCTATTTGGAGAAGAGGAGCCTCCTCCTTCCTTAAACATTTCTAACCAGGGGATGTATCCGGGATTGAGCCTGATAATATGCGAATATCAACTCATTTGTTTCCAGAAGCAGATCTGTGGTACCTGACTCTTCAATTCTTGATGCAGTGTTTTTCTGCTAGTTAAGAGTGGAATTCTCCAATTAGCAGTTTGTCTGATCAGTGCTAATGAAGAAGTGCCACATGTTGAAGAAGTGATGGAAGTTCCAGTACTTTAAGTTTCAAGGTGTAGTCAGACTGAGCTTTCATTTGAAAACATACAGGGCGTTCCTGATGATCTGGTCCAAGAGCACAGGGAACAAGAAACCCGAATGTCCAGGAAAATTCAGCAGTACAGAAACATGAGAATGATGTTCTAAATTAGTATGAAAGCCCAGGAAATTCTTGTTTTCATCTAGTGCTCCAGAGATACAGTCAGATGTGACAGTCAACAATCTTCCTCCTATCTCAACTTTTCTTCCAAAATGACTCCAGATGTAGCCTCAGGAGTGACTGCACATCTTCCAATAAATCTCTGCAGAGCCCTTTTATTGATTCTTCACAGTTCTTGTGTGAGTCCTTTGAAGAACTCAATCCATACTCTGCAGCCTTCTTGATGATTCACTTGTATCTTTCACCCTAAATTTGAGAAGATGGCACAGGAATCTCACAATGACTTTATCCTGCACTTGCAATTGAACAGTGATACTCCTCTTTGATAATACAGCTTCACCATTCAGTAGTCTTCATTGTCAGATCTTCTCTTCACTGGAAGATATCATGAAAGAGATATTGGTAATCAATGCCCAGTGAAGTAGAAATGGTACCCTCTTAATAAGCACCCTCCAATCTTCATCCAGGTCCAGCTGGCCAACACCCACTATCCCAAGCTTTGGGATATTGTAGTAATTTTTTTTCTTTTTGTTACAGCCGCTTAATGTTTGATTCCAGGCCAGCCTTCCCAATGTTGTCTTACAATGCCATGTTACATACCCAGCTCAGGGGCAACTGGGATATCCTGCAGTGCTTGAATCTCTGGATAATGGACTTTTAAAGGTTGGGGAGACTGTATTTTCAAATGCACTTTCAGTCCGAAAGGAAATTTGTTAGCTTAAATGTTTCATCTCTCATAATATTATGAAAGTTCTTTCAATTGGAAACAGGAGAAACACTTGGAAGGAGATGTAGAGCTAGACTTTAAAGACTATCAGGGAGCCAGCTGTAATAACAATGAGACCTCAGTAATCATACATTCTACAAAGAGGTTAGCCCCTGTACAACTCTGAACATGTTGTTCTGTAGCCATACCATCATGTATGATGTAACAATAAACATAGGTTAATGGGTACTAAGACTTCTGGCCTCAGTTGGAATCAAGACCCAAAAGTATGCACAATAGAGCACAATAAAAGCACTTCTGAATGAAGCACTGCTTGATTTGGCTGTAGACCCGATGCAAAGGTGGCAGTCCTGTACATAGCTGGCACCAATAAACAGTATTGCCCTCTGGTTGGCTGGTGAGTTTCCTTCCTTCTGGTGGACTCTTTTTTCTGACATCTGGTAATTTATAGAGTCATACAGTATGGAAACTGACTCTACGGTCCAGCCAGTCTACGCCGAACATGTTCCCAAACTAAACTAGTCCCACCTGCCTGCATTTGGTCCATATCCCTCCAAACCTTTGCTACGTATGTACTTATGCAAATGTCTTTTAAACATTGCCATTGTACCTGCATCCACCACTTCTACTGGCAGTTCATTTCCCACACAGACCACTCTCTGTTAAAAAAGCTGCCACCCCCACCCATGTCCTTTCTAAATCTTTCTCCTCTCACCTTAAAAATACTCCCCCAGTTTTGAACGCCACCATCCTAGGGAAAAGACCCTTGTCATTCACCTCATAAATGCCCCTCATAATTTTATAAATCTCTATAAGGTCAACCCCTTAATGCTCCAGCGAAGAAAGTACCAGTCTTTCCGGTCTAACTATATATTTCACACCCTCCATTCCGGCAACATCCTGATCAATCTTTTTTCTGAACCCTCTCCAGTTTAATAATATCCTTCATTTAACAGGGCAACAGAACTGCACAGAGTACTCTAGAACCATGTTTCTACACCACATGAAATGGTCAAATGTTTGGGTGAATTGCTACAACCAGTTTGGGGCAAGTTTTCCATTTACACAGTGAAGGATTCCCTCTATGTTTGTGAAGATGATTCAGAACATCTACACTGTAGCACTCTGTCATGCCAATCTAGACCTGGCACCATTGTGTGAATCAATATTTGTTGAACTTATGAACTTAACAGCTTGCACAGTCAAGTTCAGTTTTAAAAACGCGTCCAAATTGGTATTTCTTTTGTCTTCTGCTTCTTCCGTGACCTTCCTGACTACTTGGCTTCAGCACTCTGCGCCACAGCAAGAACTTCCTGTGCCTCAACTGACATCCCAATCAACTGTGGCTTCCAGGACCCCACAGGCCAACTATCAGGCAATAGTGAGCTCACTGTGCAGTCTGCCTTCAAGAATATGGTCATTATCCATTTGGATTATATGACCTAGTCAATGGGGTCACCTCCGACCCAAGATGGAATGATGCTGGAGAACCCTACATGCTGGGGTTGTTTAATATTCAGTACTCAGTCCTGCCAGAAGATGTACATCATTGGTCTGAAGGAACAGACCTTCAAGCTTTGCTCATCGCCTTCAAACAGAGACACGGGTCATGGCCAATGGAGAATGGGGTTGATTTAAATTAGCGTTGTTTTCCCCTCTTAAGCCTGAGTCTGTGAGGTGGCACTTGACTTTCTGCTATTTCCCATTTTTATTCTCATCCCCTGCTGAATTAGGCCAAGGCATGTCCCCCAAAATGATGGGTTTTGGATTTTTCAGAGCAATTGGGACGTCGTCAAGCAGCTCATAGTCACAGTTGATAGAAGGCCAAATCTCCCGGAGATAAAGAAAGACTAGATGACTTTGATGTGGCTAGATGTTTGGAACCCTCTTCCACAGGACGGTGGATTTAAATTTTAAATCTGAGATTAGATAATATTTTGTTAAGCAAAGGTATTAAAGGATATGGGCCGAAGGCAGATGAATGGAGTTAGGCCATAGATCAGACATGATCTCACTGAATAATGCAACAGGCCCAAGGGGCTGAATGGCCTACTCGTCGTCCTCCGTTAGAATCATAGGACCCCTACAGTGCAGAAAGAGGCCACTCAACCCATCAAGTCCACATCCACCCAGACCTACACCACCTCCCACCTTATCCCCATATCTCCACCTTTAGCATGGTCAATCCACCTGCCCTGCACATCTTTGGACTGGGGGAGGAAACCAGAGCAAGTCATCCTACATAGACACAGGGAGAATGTGCAAACTCCACACAGACAGTCGCCCGAGGGTGGAACTGAACCCGGGTCCCTGATACTGTGAGGCAGCAGTGCTAACCACTGAGCCACCATGCCACCTGCATTACAATCCTGTAATGTTCTGGGGAGGGGGGGTGGTTCCAGCTCATTTCAGTCATGTTATTATAGCAGCACTTCCACAGACTGGCAATGTTGATTTTTCTTTTCTTAATTTAAACAGGAAAGAAGAGAAAGAAGTACAACAATGATTTTTCTTCATGCTGTCTGGTCATTACATTACTTTGACAGATCGCAACAAACCAATATACAATCATTCCCTGATTGGGAATTAAACCCAGATCACAGGGGTAAAAGTAGTGAATCCTAACCACTAGACCAACCTCTCTGGCCATTACACAAAAGATTTCATGAGAAACTGCCGTTGTGGAGGCTGGATTATTAGGTTTATTAAAGACTGAGAGATATTTAAGTAGTAAGGGAATCAAGGGTTACAGGAAAAGACAGGGAAGTGAAGTTAAGGATTATCAGACCAGCCAAAGATCTCATTGAAAGGCAGAGTATATTCAATGGCCAACTTCTGCCCCTTTTCTTAGGGACAATGGTGTACTTCCACTTTTGAGGATTAAAGGTGGAATGACTCTGTTTCCTGGGGAATCAGTAGGAGTGAGATTCTCCCTTGTCTTGGTGGCCAAGTTGTCCAGCTTCTCCAGAACAGAACATTCAGGAATGGTGATGACAGCCTCTTCAGGGACAATGTTTTCCAGCTTGTAAGATTTTGAGGTATTGCTTCACCCAGCTTTTTTTTTTCCCCGCAGACTAGCTTCAGTGATGATTACTCCAGTCTTCCTCTTTAAGGCAGCTGATTTAGCTGCTGCTAGGCATGTTGATTTCTGGCTTCCTTTATGCATCTCTCTCACAGGATTTTGACCAATAGTGATGGTGCAACCTCTGCTGAGACTTCATTCTGCCAGTTCTGAGGTTATCTAGGTTTTGTTGCTGGGTGCTGCATGTCCCTCATGAGGGCTGTCCTTTTGGCTGTAGAAACTGACTCCATTTCAGGCCAAATATGCTCCAACTAATCAGCACTCCCCTTCCCATACACAGGGCAGGTTTATTGATGGTGGCACAAGGCATCCAAAGAGATGGTGAACATTCTGTGTCAGAGAAATCAGCTAGAGAACTCAAGACTTAAGTGCTCACACCGAAACCAGTATCGAAGTGGCTTGATAGATGATACAATTGAATTTACTGAGACCAGTTCAGTAAGAAACACTGTGACCAGTTACCATGGACACACCAAAACCACTTCCCCCGGACACGCCGGGACCAGATCCCCCGGACAGACCGGGACCAGTTTCCCCGGACATGCCAGGACCAGATCCCCCGCATTGACCAGGACCAGTAGCCCCGGACAGACCGGGACAAGATCCCCCGGACACGCTGGGATCAGATCCATTGAACACACTGAGAGCAGTCACAATGCACACAATGAGACCCAACTCCTCTGGAGTCTTTAGCAGCCATTCCCATGGACACAATGAGATATTGAATATCCTGCAGACTGACCATCAGCAATTCCCAACCCACTTCCCAGGATTTGTGTGGCTGTCTCCAAAACCTGCTACATTTACCTTCCCCTGTGGTCTTAAAGATATCCTCATATATTGGAAACTGTGGCCGGTCGGCAAAATCCTCCGATTTTTTCACAAGTGCTTCTTTTAGGGTTTCATAGCCATTCAGTATCACTGTGTTGGTCCATCCGAACTGCACACCCACCACATCACCATAGTGCTTCCACAGCTTAAACATAATAAAGAGAAACAAGATTTAACTGGCAGAAGGGGGAGGCTATTCTTTTGAGTTTGACATTGACCACTTGTGGGTCAGATAACAAACATGGGGAAGCTCAGAACGATTTCAAATACAGTGGGTCACCCAACATAGCTCCATCCGAGATAGTTTGCCCCCAATATGTTTGGCTTCCCTGCTTACATTCCAAATGTGCAAGGCTGGTGTTGGGTTTGTTGTATACATTGAATATTATCTTGGTTATTGCTATCACCCATCAATTGACTGTACTCTGATAGTGAGAAATGCTTCAATACTGTAACCAACACAGCCACACTTTGTCATATAAAATGCAGGCTATTGTGAAGTCCTAACTCCAGGACACAGTTTCTGAACGTGTTTCTCAGCTGGTCCTTCAGTGGGTAGATATTAGCTCGTTCAATTCCACTTGTACTTTCACCTCCTCACACTTAGGCTCTATGTCTGCACTAACTGCTTCCTAGAACAACTAGTGGCGCTTCCTGTACATGTCAATTTGTCATGTAGTCAAGCAGTTCTTGACCAAATACATCAATATGTTAGGCTTGCGCTGATAAGTCGTATATAAACCTCGGTCCTCAGAAGTGTCAGGCAATTATGAACTCAAATAAACATAGAATCTAATAATCTCTTCATGATATTCAAAGCCATTACTGTTGCCAAATCCCCTGCTATCAACATCCTGGAGTTTACCATTGGCCAGAAACTAAACTGGACTCACTGTATGAATACTATGGTCACAACAGCAGATCAGAAGTTAGGAATCCTGCAGTGAGTATTTCACCTCCTGATTCCCCAAAGTCTGTCCACCAGCTACAAGCCACAGGTCAGGACTGCGATGGAATATTATTTGAATAGGGAGTCACCTGGGTTTAAAGAACTTGCAATCACTGCTTGCAATCCCACCCTGTCTTCCTGATCGGTGCATGCAGTCCCCTCTCTGGGGCCTAGCTGCATTGCCCTCCCTCCCTCTGACCTTCATGTTCAGTCTTCAGCGATGCTCCCTTCCAGTGGCAATGCTGGGTCTGAAGGGCCACCTGTCTCTGATTGCTCAGCAATTACAGAGCTGTACAGCATGGAAACAGACCCTTCAGTCCAACTTGTCCATGCTGACCAGATATCCTAACTTAATCTAGTCCCATTTGCCAGCATTTGGCCCATATACCGCTAAATCCTTTCTATTCATGTACCTATCAATGTGCCTTTTAAATGTTGCAATTGTACCCACCTCCATCATCTCCTCTGGAAGCTTATTTCATACACCTAACACCCTCTGCATCAAAAAGTTGCCCTTTAGGTCGGTTTTAAATCTGCACCAGATCAGGAGATCTCTCTGTTCTCTGCAGGAAAAAGTCACTTTAAACTTGAAGAAAACCAGTTTATCTTTCCTTGAGCAATTGCTGTAAGCTGTGACTTTAACTAATAAGACAGAGGCCTTTCTGTAAGTATGAATCAGACCCTGTGCCTCCCATGAACCAGTGAGCATTCCAGAGATGGAAAATCGAGAAGCAGTGTTCTGACCAGCGCAAGAATGAGAAGAATCATTTCAGCAAGCCCTGTGAACAGGAACCACTGACCTGCCTTCCCAGTCTTGCCCTCCACCCATAACACCCATGTTTTCTTTCCTGTCTGTGTCTATGTGTGTCTAAGGGGAATATTTTAAGGGGTTTGGGAGTCATAAATAGTACAGTTATGTGCCAAGGATTCATAATTGTTTACTGTAGCCAGATTCTATTTACTTGTAATAAACAGTAGCTCTTTGAACAAAATCCTGGTGTGTGCTTTCTGTCCATCTGGGTCTAAAAGACAGGTAAACTGGGGAGTTTGCATACTGTTTAAAAATCATTACCATTTATGATGACTCTGGAAATAGTGGAGCTTGATTTCCAGTGTGCTATGCCAGTGAGGTGTGACAATGTACTGTGATTCTGGACAATAACATGTACAAGAAGCCCTAATCCTAATGATACAAGGCATAAAGAAAGGAATTATTGATTAAAGTAATGAGTTAAACAATTGGATTAAAGAGAGAATGTGAGAGATTAAGACAGAGAAATAGAACAAGACATGAAAGAGAGACTGAGAAGGTTAGAAGTGATTGACAGAATGGGGTCTCTCACACTCTCTGCTATCAGACCATTTGTACTTTACCTTGGCAAATGACAAGTGGGGGTTGTTCCAGTCCACCTGAAGAATGTTCCCAATGAAAGGCCAGCCCCGGGGCCCAGGTGGGTAATTCTGACACTTGCGTCTCTTCATGAAGTCAAAGACCAGGGCAAACACCGTGAAGAACATGGCCAGCGTAGCAAATCTGTCAAATAACATGAAGAGAAACCCGGGGAGAGCTGACAGCTCCATGTTTCCCAGAGAGACAAACACTTCTCCGGCAGCCAGAGGTCAAATTCCACCTGTCAGCTGACAGTGAGTGAGGCCTGCTGCAGAGTTTTACTGGGAGTGGTCACCCAAACTTATTTAATACTCTACTCATTATGACAAGAATAATTTCGTTCACCGACAGAGTTTGTATGAAAAAGGATTCTGTCAATGCAAGTTAGAAAAGAAACAAAACTCTTCTTAAAAAGCCATTCTTAAAAAAACACAGCCTGTACTTCTCTGTCTGAAGCCCTTTCTCTCGTCGGGCTTTAATTTACAAACCATAGCTGGATCAGCAATAACAAGAAAAAGGGGTGGAGCAATGGTCAAATCCCTTTCATTGGTTAAATCGTCTTTTACACTTGTATCGCAAACTCTCTCCACACTTTCATTAAAGGATATAAAAAGAAACAAAAGACTTGGTTCTGGGCTGGCAGCCAAAAATACAGCAGCAACTAAAAATTCTCCCCAGTCACTACCCACCCCTGTTATCATCCAATGAATCAAATTGAAATAAATTCAAAACCTGGAAAAATAGAGCCAACTTTCTCAGCATGTCAACACATTCGTTTTTCAAAAGGTGAAAAAACACACATAGCAGTCCACCAAAGCTAGCATTCCAGCAGATATCTTTAGCAAAACCATTTCAAAAACACATCATGGGATCAGAATAAACAAGGTTCACCCCACAATTTCATTTTTCTCCCTCCACTCAATATTAATCTGTTTTAAATTTAAGTTTCTGAAATAATGTATTAGAAAAATGTAATAGAGGAAAAAAGCCAAATTGAACTGACTTGACTTTTTTTTTAAACTTTTTTGTTTGGCTATTGTTCTATTGATAGTTTGTAATCCTGACAGCCTGGACCAGGAGAACAGCTTTAGGAGAAAACATGAAGATGAAGTGTTGCAAAATCATTTTTTAAGTTCTACACAACTGATTGTCCATAGTTTCTTTCTTGTGAACCATGGAGTCCTCTTACATGAATACTCACAAAACTGTGAGCTTAAACTTTCCCACTCCTAATAAACTGCAGATTTCTAACCAAACACTCACGATTTGGAAGCTTGATTAAAATTTTCCACTGAAGTGACTGTGCTTTTCCTGAGTTGTCCTGAACTCCTGTAAGAAACAAAACTTAACCTGCTTTGGAACTCAAACTGTCCTAAAGAAAATCAATCTCTATGTTTTCTAAGTTAGTAACCAAGGATTGATTCTTCAGACTGAAAACGAGCAAGTGGCCTTCAATGTTTACCTACCTATCATAAACACTGCAATATAACAATTTTTCCAATAACATTCACAGTAATGCTGGGGTAACTCTGACCTTAATCATATTTTAAAGAAAACCCCGATAGAAATGAGCCATTGCCAGGACAATGGAATGTTTCACTGTCTCCTTTGCATTGGTTCTGATGAGAGCACCATGTGCAAAGGTACTTTTGACATGTTTTCCTTTTTTGCTTAACTAAGGATGACCCCTTCAGTGGTGAACAGAGCCCTTAGCTGGTTCCAATATATCTCCTGCACTTTTGCTCTCATCCGTTATGCAATACAGCACAGGAACAAGCCCTTTGGCCTTCCATGCCTGCATCGATTCCTAGTCCTTATTTAGCCCCACTACTTATTGCCCATACATGGTTTCTATCCCTCTGTTTACCTCCTCTGTCTATCGAGATACACCTTAAACATTGATCAATTGCCTGCTTCCACCATCTCTACTGGCAGTGCGTTCCAGGCACCCACCACCCTCTGTGTGAAAAGTTTTCCCCACATTTCTCCCTTCAACTTTTCCCCTCTCACCTTGAATCTGTACCCTCTTGTAGTTGACCTTTCCATCCTGTGAAAAAGCCTCTGACTATCCACCCTATCTATGCCTCTCATAATTTTGTAGACCTCTATCTGGTCGCCCCTCAGCCTCCTTCTTTCCAGTGAAAACAATCCGAGTTTATCTAACCTCTCCTCATAACTAACTAAAACTAACATTGCTTTTGCTGCACTGTCTGTGTAGTCGTTCCCTCTCTGCTCAGGTGTCTGAATCCTTCTGTGTGCTTTTATTTTAATTACTGCTGCTTCTTTCGGCTTAATTGCAGCGGCCTACTAGGTCCTTGATTAGGCACGTAGGACAGGACATTCAAACAGCGGTATCCATCTGAGACCTATTCCTTTTAATGTATCTGAAGTGGCAGAATGGATCACTTGCCAGAACAAATCCCTTAAGACTGAAGTTTGCATAGCTGGGAAATCTTCTAAGGTCCCATGCTGAATCACACTACCATTCCAGGTAACATAACCTTGCCTTGGCCATGCCATCATGCAGTCATGGATTACACCAAAGGCATACCTACTGTCTCTCTTGGTCCCTGTCCGTGCCTGCCTCTTTTTTTTCACAGTTCCTACATGCAATGGTCTTATTGGGACAATTTTTGGCAAAATGCCCTCCCTTATTGCACACGAAACACACTGCCCCTTTTAACTGTTTCGGACAGGTTCCCCGTTTGTGTGTGTTCCCTGTAACAAGTGCTGCTAGTTCCTTAATATTCCCTTGGTTATTTTCTGCCTTCATAACCCAATTGAGTATTTTCTTAATTTGTGTTTTTTTCCCTCCAGATCTCCATCCACAGATTACTTCACCCAGTAGCAGTAAAACAACATCACACATGGACTCAAACTTTTTAAAGAAAGTATCCATCAAGCAGAATGGGTTAATTAGTATTGATCTACAATGGATTCAAAAAAGGGGGTGGGGTATAAAATCTTGCATGTAATTACATCATCCATCCCTCCTTCTCCTGCAAGAAAATAAATATTCATAAGTTCCGAAGAAGTAGGGGTAGAATTAGGCTATTCAGCCCATCGAGTCTGCTCTGCCATTCTATCATGGCTGATATGCTCCTCACCCCCATTTTCCTGCCTTCTCCCCATAACCCTTCAATCCATTACCTATTAAAAATCTGTCTAATTCCTCCTTAAATTTACTCACTGACCCAGAATCCACTGCAATTTGGGTAGCAAATTCCACAGATTCACAACCCCTTTTGGAGAAGTAGTTTCTCCTCAACTCTGTTTTAAATTTGCTACCCCTTATCCTAAGACTATGACCCCTCGTCCTAGAATGCCCCACAAGAGAAAGCATCTGCTCCATGTCTATTTTATCTCCGCCTTTTATCATCTTGAATACCTCAATTTGATCCCTCATTGTTCTGAATTCCAGAGAGTATAGGTCTAAACTGTTCAATCTCTCTTCATACAACAAACCCCTCATCTCTGGGATCAATCTAGCGAACCTCCTCTGAACTGCCTCCAATGCAGTTTCCTCAACATCTTTCCTCAAATAAGGGGACCAAAACTGCACACAATACTCCAGGTGTGGTCTCACCAATGCCTTGTATAGTTGCAACAATACTTCCTTGCCTTTATATTCTATTCCTTTAGCTATAAAAGCCAATATTCGTTTGCTTTCTTTATTATCTGCTGTACCTGCATGCTAGTTTTCAGTAACTCATGAACAAATACACCCAGATCCCTCTGCACTGGAATACCCCAAAGTCTCTCCCCATTTAATTAGCAGGTCACCTTCCCATTTTCCTGACCAAAATGCATGACCTCACATTTATCCACATTAAACTCCATCTGCCACATTTTGGCCCACTCTCCTAACCTATCGATATCCATTTGTAAGGTTCTTATTTCCTCATTGCTATTTACCGTCCTGCCTATTTTTGTGAAGTCCACAAATTTGGCTATAGATCCTTCTATCCCTGTCTCCAAGTCGTTACTATAGATTGTAAATAATTGGGGTCCAAGGGCTGAACCCTGTGGAACCCCACTTTTTACTTCTTGCCGTCCAGAAGTCCATCAGCTAGTCACCTATCCAAGCTAATAAATTACCCCACATCCCATATGATCCAAACTTGTGAGTTAACCTTTTGTGCGGCACCTTATCAAATGTCTTCTGGAAGTCCAGATATATTCATTTACAGAATCCCCATTATCCACTTTGCTTGTTACATCTTTGAAGAACTCTAGCAAATTAGTCAAACATGATTTGCCCTTCATAAAACTATGCTGACTTTGATGGATAGCATTTTGACTTCCAAATGTCCTGATATTGCTTCCTTGATAATTGATTTTAACACTTTGCCAACAACAAATGTTAAATTAACTGGTCTATAATTTCCCACATATTGCCTCCCCCACTTTTTGAATAGGGGCATTACATTAGGATTTTTCCAATCCACTGGAACCTTTCCCGTGTCCAGGAAATTTTGGAATATTGTAATCAATGGACCTACTATCTCTGCTGCCACTTCCTTTAATAGCCTAGGATGTAGGCCATCAGGCCTGGGGGACTTGTCTGCCCTCAATCCTAATAGTTTGTTGAGTACCTTTTCCCTACCGATGTTGATTGTTCTAAGTTCCAACCTCTCTATTGCCTCTGAATTGCCCATTCCAGTAGGAATCGTACTATTGTCCTCCACCATGAAAACTGAGGCAAGGTGTTCATTTAGCATCTCTGCCGTTTCAGTGTGTTCCACTATTAGCTCTCCGGTTTCACCTTAGCAACTCTCTTCCCTTTTATATACCCATAGAAGCTTTTGCTATCCTTCTAGATATTTTGTGCTAGTTTTCTTTCTTGGTTTATCTTAGCTCTTTCTATTAATTTTTTAGTATCCTTTCATTTATGTTTGAAAGTTTCCCAATCTTCTAGCCTGCCACCAGAAAAAAACACTTCCTCTGTTAAGTTTGCCTTTTCTAATTTTTCTGTCAGTTTCTCAGATTTTAGAACATACCATCAGAATTTTGTTCAAAGAGAATTGCATTTCCAAGATTCCAAATTCCCTATTGTTTGCATACTTTCTCATCAAAGGACCTCTACAATGAGCAAATCTCATCATCCAGAGTTAAAGATTCACTCATGTTAAAACAGTATGTGGAAGTTCATTCTGGCCAGTAAATAAAATTCCAAACATGGTAATTTCTGAAATTAGAATTTACCCAAGTCCAAACACAACACAGAGCCAATTCTAAAAGAGACAACACAGTGTGGAGCTGGAGGAACACAGCAGGCCAGGCAGCATCAGAGGGGCAGGAAAGTTGATGTTTTGGGTCAGGACCCTTCTTCTGCTTCTCTGATGCTGCCTGGCCTGCTGTGTTCCTCCAGCTCCACACTGCGTTGTCTCTGACTCCAGCATCTACAGTTCTTGCTATCTCTCGCCAATTCTAAAAGGTAAGCTTTTACTGAGTTTCAAACGGACATCACATTAACCAT